CTGTATATATTTTTATACATATCAATATACATATTGTACGTACTGTACATATAAAAAATCTCCAATAAGTAATTTTTTTATGGTACCACACATAGATTTGAACTACATAGTTGACAGCACACCCCAATGAGGCATGGTATAAGAAGAGCTTTCTTGATAAGTGATCTATTGGGTTGAAGAATTTTGCATAAGAATAGAACAATAAGCACAAGGAACACATGGATAATCAGTTAAAATCTTAGTGTCAAATTGGTATATGAGTCAGTGAAGAGGTGTAGTTAAATGCTGGTACGTAGGAAGAATGGGTTCATTTGTTATAAAATTAGGATAAGAAGTATTATTAGAAATACTAGGCACGTTTGTTAAATTTTGATTTATTTCATTTCTTAGTGTATAAGGGGTGAAAAGGTTAGTTTCAGAAGTAATGTTTTGTTCAGTATCAGATTGGGGGATTTGATCTGTGAAAGAAGTGAGATAGAAAGTTTAATTGGTCATTTTTATCTTTGTATTGTGCAGAATTTATTTAATGTTTAAGGAGTAATTTGGGTATAATAGGAATCTGGTGAGTATATATATAATATATTTTTATTTATTTATTTATTATTTTATATAGTAATCTAAAAGTAACAATAAATAAGTTCTAAAGAAATGAATTGTATTGTTTGTTAAATCAGATCATGTAAGGAGTAAAACTTGATTTATAAAATAATAAGGAGCATTGATATAATTAACTAAGTTTAATAAATAGTCTAATATAAGTTATATATTAGTGATAATTTAAAATAATGGTAATTAGATAAAAAGATAGAATTTAGTATGATGATAAGGTTAGTTGTATATTGTTTCATATGATAATAACAGGTGAAAATAATATAGAATAAGATCTAATGAGATGAATTATTCAATTTTGTAGATAAGAAGGTGCAGAGTTGAATTATAATCGTTGACTTGAGTTAAGTTTAAATGGTGACAAAATTTGAAATAACGATGATGCGGGTTATTTTGAGATGTTACGATAATTTTGGTTGTTAGATTGATAAGTAATATTAATACAATGTAATTATTTGTATTAACATAGTTTATATAGGTTAGTGATGTTTTAGAGCTAAGAGATATTGTTAGAAATTATTGCAATTATGATGATCAGTGTTGGCAATTTTTGCGGCCAAACAATTTTTTGGGACCGGCCAACTGGCCAACCAGCCAACGGTCATTGGCCAATGGCCAAACTTTGGCCAAAAATTTTTAATTTTGTAATATTAACCAATCATATTGCTAGTTTTTATTATATAAACTTTTGGCCATTTTGGCCAAAAAAAATTTTTCAAAAATTTGGCCGTTGGCCACGGCCATTGGTCGTGGCCACTGGCCGGCCAAATACCTATGTGACAACACTGATGATGATGATAAGGATTGTTACATAATATTTTATGTGATAACTTGAGAAAATAAGATAGAAGTATTAAAGATGATAAGATTAGTTAGATAACGGTCCATATATAAGTTAGGAAAATAAGAGGTGAGTATTTGAGATAGTGTTATGCGGCGATCTGAAATTCGTTAAACATGTAATTATTTATTTATATAATAATAAGAGAGTGATTTTCTAAAGAAAATGAGCATTAGTTGATAATAATATAAGATTTAATTAGGTATAATAAGCTAAGGTAGATTTCAGTTAATAACCATTTTATTTAGATGTTAAAAAAAAAGAGAAATAAAAGATTGATAGTATATAAGTAAAGAATAGATAATGTATGATAACTCGGGTTCTTATAATATAATAATAATAAGAATTAATTATATTTATTTTTTGGTACGACGTTGTGGTTTAAAATGTTTATCTTTAAGGTCAATATTTGTATCTTGCATATTTGATTTAGGAGGTTCAGTAGAAGAAGCGTCACTAATAGAAGAATCATTATCGTCGTCAACACGAGTAGCATGAGAATTTTTAGATGGTTTTTGAGGAACAGATTGAGAAGTAGAGGATTGAGAAGAAGGATCAGAAGGTGATTTCAAAATTGAGAGATGATTTCAGGAAAATTGAGGGATGTTAATTTGTTATTTAAAGGTTTGGTATGTGAGGGTCGTATATTAAGTTTTTGTCTTTTTTGAGGAACTTGAGAGGTTAGCGTAGCATATTTTTCTTCAATACTTTCAAGATAGGTATCAAGTTCTCTTTGAGAAGATACTTTTGTAGTAGTAGAAGGGGTGGAGGGTGATGAATCACCAGGTACATAAGTCCATTCAATGTCGGTAGCAATGAGATGTGGAAGTTTTGATTGTCTAATTTTCAAGTATCTAATAACTGATAAGACTGTTTTTTTTAAGTTATTTTTTAGGGCATTGTATCAATTGTGTTCATTTATATAAGATACAATAATTTTGGAGTCAACGTATTTATTACTAGTAACCTCATTATATAAACTTCTTGCTAACATAAAGCTTTCTTGTCCTCCTCTATTATCAGGAATGTAAGAGTTTGGTACAATGGGAGCAGAGTAAATTAATAAAGGAGATGAATTTGGAAGGTCTTCAGGAGTAAGAACGTAATCACCCTCTGAATAAGAAAGCAGAACAGTTTGAACCAAAGTGACCTTGAGATAAGTGAAAAATTATGAGTATATGTCAGTTTTGAATTAAGATGAAAATTAAGAATAATGAATATTTACATATTCTGAATCTTCATATACGTATCTGCCAGTAAATAAGAGAATACAATTTTCCTCAAAGAGTACAATCAATGAATCGAGATTGCCAGTAAAACCTTTGAAGGTAATTTCATGGAATTCATCAATATTATGGGTTGCTCGATATACAGCAGTTCCTGAAATATACTTATCACTTCCAGTAACATTTTTGGTAAAGCAAAAAGCAACGAATAAAGAAGACATGCTTGAAAGAAGTATTTTATTAAAGATATTTTTATTAAGTAGGAGAAACATAAGTAAAAGATAGTATTTGATTGACTTATAGATAGAATGAAGTTTTAGTAAGGTAGTTTAGGTAGTGAAGGTTTTATAGTTTTAAAATGTTAGATAAATTTTATTGTATTACGTGATAACTTCAAAAGGATAAAGAGGAAAAAGATTATTGTAATAATATAGATCCAGTAGTGAATCATTTTTTGATAAAATAAGGAATACAAGGTTTGGAGGAGAAACAGATTTCGAAGAAAATAAGGATTAGCATAGTGTGAATGATTAGTAAGAATAATTGAATAGTATCAGAAGAGTTAGATAAGGATTAGTAAAGTGATTTATTTATGAAGATAAAATTTTTTTAGTTCAATATACATTGTAAATTTAATTTTATATAGATCGATTAGATTTATTATAACAAATGTAGAGCAGTGAGTATCAGTATTGTTACAAGTATTATTGTATATGTAATAATCTGTAAGAAAATTATGTTTGAAAAGAAGAAGGAAATAGTATCATGCTAAGAATAAGTGAAGAACAAAAAAAATTTTATAGGCCTATTAGATAAAAAGTAATTGATTACGATAAAGATTAGTAAGATTAAATTTTCTTTGTCTTTTTTTATTGAGGGTAAGGAATAGATAGTAGGGAGAAAGTGGCTTAATTTAAATCAATAATATAAAAGAAGATTAAAGGTGGCTATGTAGGCATTTGAGATTTGAGATGGGAAATGATTTTATTTTAATCGTATGATTTGGATAACATTAAATTGAAGATATTGTTAAATAAATATAAAAGTTAAAAAGTACTCGATAAAGATATTTTGGGCTAGATTGAATAAAAGATAATAGAGAAAATTAGGATTGTTTAAATGAATAAAAATCGAAGTATATAAAATTAAATAATTAGAATAGAGTTAGAATAGAGTATTTATGATAGTATAACGAAGATTGTGATTATCTATGGTATTGACGTGGTCAATTTAGAAGTGAAAAAAAATAACCTGTTAATAAAATAAATATAGTAATTTATTAGTATACTGAATAAGGAGTACAATATATAACGTTATATTTGTGATACTGTAGTAGAGTACGAATAAAGTTAAGATGCGCGGGCCAAAACAGATTCAAGTCGCAATATAAGAAAGAATTAGAAGTGATAATGAGATAAATTAAGGTAACAAGTATGTAACATTTTTAGCAAAAGACAAGTATTAATTGTATATATAAATAAGGAAGGTAGTTTGTATACAGATTTCTAATATGGAAAAAATTTGAATGATATATACTAATAAGGAAGGTAAATGTAATACAGTAGTAGAACTTGAAAAGTAAAGACGTAATAAAAATAAAAACGAAGGTTTCGCTTGCTACAAGAGTTAATCATAAATTATCAAATAATCAGAGCAGTAAATAATCCGAAAAGCAAAAAGTTCTGTAATAAAAAATTGCAAGACATAAATAATCAAGGAAAATGTTGAAAGATTTTAAGCTATAAATTAATACGATAGGGTAGTATCTTAAAGTGCTTTAAATTTTCTTTTACAACATAACACTGCACTGCACTTGTTCGCTCTGCTCTGCATTAGCATAGTGTTAGCATGAGTAAGAGCAAGAGCATAGATTGTATACAATGATTTTAAGTTTGCATTATAGTAAATATCCTTTTTTGAGCATTTTTTTTACAAAAAAAGGATGAAGCTATATTAGATAATTAATGCAGCAGATACTAAAATAGAAATTACGCGTTTCATGAATTTTGGATCGCTGCATAAGGGCATTAATCACAGAATATTCCCACCACATGATTATGATGCAACAATTAGGTATTACAGCTATTTTCATAATTCCTGGAACACCTGATAAAAAATAACCAAATGATTTTTTAATTAAATTGTGATAGATTTAATATATTTGATATATATAAGATCAGATAACTAATTTGATATATATAAGATCAGAAAACTAATTTAAATATTACTGAATATTGTATCTCTGGTTAAATACAGAAATATGATACCTTCAAAACATCTTCACTAGAAAAAAAGATTTAAAAGACCTATAATTTTGAACACTTAGGTGCTAGCATATCTTTTACAAATCGGCTTCTCAAGCACTTTCAAAGATATAGATGTTAGAAAGGCTTCTGTCACTTTCAGGTGAACTATGCTCACAACATAATTGATACAAAATAATTTCAAAACTTAATAAAAAAAAAGCCTGATTGTATTTGTATAATTACATATATATTTGTAATAAATAATTTTAATTAATAAGTTATTAACACAAAACACAATGGAAATCTGAAAATTGGGAATAAATAAATTTTGACCTAGTTAATTATGAAATTTCAAAAAGGTGTGAATGGTCACAGATCACCATGTCATGAGAAATTCATGATATTTTCCAGATTTCTGAAGTTTTAAAGACTCGCTCTAATCAGAAGGTTTAATTTTACTAATTTAAATTTCCAAATTCTTCGATTTTCTACATAGGTATATAAAATCATTGTTTATACATTTTTGAAAATGGCTATAAAAATTTTTTTGGGCTTTTTGTTAGGAGTTTTTTTTTAGGATTAGTTTAGGGTTTAGGGTTAGTATATATATATATTTTTTTAAACAGTCATGCTTTTATTTATGTGAACCTCGTGTAACTATCATAAATGAATACAACAATTTTTTATGAATATGGTTCTATCTAATAAAAACTACCCAAGCATATCGCCCAAGTCAATCTGTCATAACAACTGTTCGCTTCTCTCAGGATCCAAAACTTTCAATGAATTTTGTACCGTAAAGATACTTCTTTAATACTTTGCTGGCTATTGTATAGCCTATTCATGACTGTTAAACTTTCCCTTCTAATTCTTCCTTCTTCTCAAGGGGCACAAGACAAAAGAGGAAAATTTCCAAAGAGGTTGTACAAAAATGAAAAAAAAATGAAAAAACAGAAAAGAAAAAAAAAACAAACACAAATTGCAAAAAAGAAAAAACAAAAAGAAATATAACAATCTATAAAGCACTATTATAGCCCGTACCAGGCAAATATAAAAATTATATAACAAATGCAACATTTGTATATCTCTACTGTAAAGCTTTGTCTTAACGTTAAATTTACTTTCTGACCTTCCCACTGACTCCGGATAGCTCCGTTTCCTGTCTTAATTTGTATCTCAAGCCAGGTGCTGCTATTGTCTGAGGACCCATGTCTTAAGCCACTTGCTGCTATAATTAGAGTTTCCAGGCTGAGTCCCTTGAAGTAGCACCATATTCATCCATAAAAAAACACGTAGTTGTATTTTGCTAATCTGTTCAGATTTGGGAAGTAAACAATGCTGATCTTTTGGAAGGGGTAAGCCAAATCCCCACTTTTTGCCGAAATTTTTTAAAAGACCAATGGAAGAGTGAGTAGAAGTAAAAGAGGAACCACTTGATCAAGTAAAAGAGTGCGGCTTGAGAAAAAGCAGAGTTTTGTTGTTTCCCCTGTGTTCTTCCTTTGGAAGTAACAGCCTAAGTAACTTTGTTGACGGATAGACTTTTGTTTTTCCACCAAAATTTCATATCCAAGAGCGCACACCTCCAGCCAGTTATCTTGTATACTAACACTTTTGGCTTGCATGTCGAACGCACAACTTATAGAGGAGTCCCAGAAGAGTAGAACCGTTGACCTCTAGACAAACTGCTACATTAGGCCACAACTCTCCAACAAAAGTTCTGTTTTCTTTTAGTAAAAATTTTGGTCCAAATGATTGTCAGAAAGAGTTCTTGATTATAATTGTAGGGTTAGTATATTAATAAAAAAGTATATGTGAATTTTAGTAGGTATTATAGATTTAAATGAGACCCAAAATTTCAGCATCATATTAATTTTTATTCTAACATTTTTTACGATTTTTTAATAAGTCTTCTTAATAACAACTTGGCTAATTTTAAATATTTAACATTTTTTTTTGAATCATATAGATTTATAGAATTTGAAAATTGCTTGGTTAACAAAAGATCTAATATATCTTATATAATAGAGAATTACTATTTGTACACTAGTGTGAACACACGGAGCATTGTTATTACTCAAAATTTTACTTATGAAACTACTTTAGGGGTTTTAACAAAAGATAATCTACGCAAAATTTTAGTATAAAATACTTTTTAACCCTGACTTCTAACCCTAACCCTAACCCTAATATTAAGTGGCTTTTTTTTTATAAATTTTATATATTGCCTATAAATTAATTAATACCCATATGTACACACTAGTGTAGGCTTAAAAATTTTCTATATAATAATAGATATTATGCTAGAAATTAAATTTCAAAGAGAATCTTTGAAATACTGTATTTGGTGTAATAAATGAGAATTTGAAAAAATTTTGTAGATTTTTGTGCAATGGGTATTACAGTAAATTGAAAAGCACAGTAATAAAAAAAACAATAATGCATAAATAGAATCAAGCAAAAATATTTTGTGTTTGAATTCCAAATTTAGTATAAATTGTAAAATTTGAGACTAAATTCTAAATTGGCCAAATGTTGGAGAATTTTAGTTCAATATAATAAGCACCATACAAATTATATTGATTTAAATTGACTCAGAATTGATTAATAATTTTTGTTTTGAATAGAAGTAAGCCTGGTGTTCTTAAACTTATACAAGACAATTAAAATTTTTATGGTCTAAATAAATTAACTATTCTCCATAAGCAAGAGGTATTACAGATTTAATTAATATATTTGTTTCAAATAATGATCTTTAGCGATTTCAATGAATCTTGAAAAACTTCAATATGGAAATCATAATATGGGGTTGTCAATAGAAACCAAGCAAATATTTTTTAGTATTTTTTTTTAAATTTTAAACAAGAATAACTTAACAAAAACTTGATTAAATTTAATAAAAATTTTTTTAAATTAATTCTACAAGTTTATAAAAATTATTTAAAAAAAATTTCATTAAATTTGTTAGATATTCTTGT